TAACTACTGGCTACCTAGCCACATACCGTATTCTTGTTTGGGTGTGGTCACACCATGCACATCTCATGTGACACGCAAACCCCTATTATCAGGGTTCGTGTATCCCCGTTACACCCTCCCCCATTAAAATTGAGAACATTCACAGCTCCAATCGATTATTGCCTCAAGGAGGCTCGCGTATCCGTTAGACACTGCAACTCAATTTGTTGGAATCTAACAACTTCCTTGCTCAATGAACCCTGTATCCACGACACGAAAATCATCAAGTCTCGCTGGTTCTGACAGCGAGCACGGGCAGAGCCCAATTTCGTCCCCCGCACGTAGTGCGATGTTGGACAGTGCGTCTGCGGCACCGGGAAATGTATATTCTAGGCTCGATGAGCACAAACGTTGCGCTCCGCGCACGCTTTCAGTGCCGAGTGGCCTCGTTGAGGATGTGGTCGACTACGAGTCTGACACCTCTTTTCCCGCATGTGTTGACGAGGAAGGCGAGCTGCATCAGCAGCGTGATACGAGCCCTGCTCCTGCCTTGCGGACTCCATGTCCGTTCCCTGACTTCTCATTAGCTAAATAACGTGGTGTAATCACCGATTACCTCGACGGAAAACGAAAGCGGCAGCTTCAAGCTGTCCATAAGACGACTCTAAAACGCGCTAATTCACGGTCGGTCATTGACCCTCGTGTGGAATATGGCTTCCGCCCTGCGGATCCCGGTTTTGAAATTGAAGGACGCCGTAACTCGATCGTTACGCGTCGACATCATCGCCCCCCCGGCCAGAACGGATTATGATCTTGCCACACGGAAAGCTCTTCGAGTTCGTTTCTTGGTCTCACAAGAAATTTCGTTAGACGTTTATCGCACTCGTCTAGTGCTCTGCGAGGTGGCTCTCGTGTACCCGAAATGTGGACAATACTTGTAGTGCTCTCCCCTGGCAAAAGCGCTGCAGATGCCAAAGAGCTCTTTGAGCGATGGTGCAACGGCACCGAAACCTTTCCTCACTGCATAAGCTGCAGTTGAGCCACAAGGAAGTGGACGTGCGTGTGGAGCGATACCTCCGATTCCAGTTTGCTAAACTCAAAGCACGCCGTCGGTTTCCTTCGGGTTGTCGCCCTGCGACGTATGGGATAACCCCTAATGCTCCCATGCGCTCTGTGTCTTCGACCGCAAGAGCTCAGGGCCACTGCTTGATATCGGCTTATGGCCCGTCTACTTCCCTGGTTATTGCCGGGAAGCGTAGGGCGTCTGATGACGCGGGACGTCCTGATCTC